ATGGATGGATGGATGGATGGATGGATTGTGATAAGAGTTGTACGAGCCCCAAATAAAATGATTAAAAAAAGAGTTGGACTTGATCCAAAGATAATGTCCCCCAAACTGCAAACTCACTGCCATCAAATAAATTCTGATTCATAGAGAATTTATATGACAGGGTTAAACTGCCCCTGTGGGTTTCTGGGACTGAAAGCCTCATCTTTCTCCCATAGAGTGGCTGGTGGTTTCCAACTACTAACTTTGGGGTTAGCAGCCCAGTGTGTAACCACTATGCCACCAGGGCTCCTGTCTACTTCCATAGGAACTGGTAAATGTCCTTCCAAGAAGATGACAACCAATTTACTTTGCCAGTAAGGGTGGGAGGGTTTTGAGCTGGGAGGGACATGATTGGCTCTATGCCTTTGGTCAATCAGTTACACATTGAGCCGGCATCGATGAAGAGCTTACCTACCTACTGCCCACCAGTTATTACTCTATGCTGGGTCTAGGTACAATAAAGTCCCCACCCCCTGGAGCTGACAGTCCAACAAACTATAGCTAATAAAAAAATATATAAGGGCGCTCCAAATGTTTTTGGGAAAGAACAATCAAATAAAAAAAATATATATATAAAGTTCGATGGAGCCCTGGGACTGCGATCCACATGGTTTGCAGTTCAAAACCACCAGCAGCTCCCCGGGACAGAGACTGGGCTTTCTACTCCGTCAACAGTTACAGTCTCGGAAACCCATAGGGGTCCCTATGGGTCAGCATTGACTCCACGGCAGTGAGCTATATAAAGTTTGTGGCAACAATTGGAGTGAAAAGATTGTGGGAGTTTCCCATGAACTTTTTGAAGCCCCCTTGTACATAATGGCAACAGGTTCTTTGAAAACAATGGCGTTGGGCAAGGGGGCTGAGTAGTGCCAGCCTGGGTGGGAGAGGAGGCTGTTTTATACAAGCTGAGTCCCTTCGGGAGCAAGCCCTGAAGGTAGCCTGCAGGAAACCATTCCAGCAGAGGAACTGGCTGACGCAGAGGCTCTGAGGAGGGGCTGTTCAGGGATTGGCAAGGTGAGGTGCCTGGTGTAGCTGACGCAGCTTAACGGAGTGGGAGCAGCCCAGGGGACAAGGCCAAGGGAGGAAAAGGGCCCAGAAATGCAGGGTCTTGGGGCCACTAGGAAGATTGCTTTGATATTGAGTTGGGGAGACATCGAATGGTTCTGATAGAGGAAGGTCACAATCTGACGCGGGCTTTACTAAGATCATTCTGGATGTTCCACTGGAAGTGCACTGGAGGGGTGGGGGGAGAGGCAAGCGCGATGGTCTAGGTGAGCGGCTGTGGGTAGAGCCATCACTCGTTGCCCATGGGCAATGGGGGCTGGGGTTGGGGAGAAAGTCGAGGGTGATGCTAGGGATGTTGAACTGATGGGAAGAACAGGTATAGGGGCATCGCAAGCTCTGCTCACTTTGGCTGCTGAGTGAGAAATGGAACAGTGCCTGGAGGCTCCTGGACGTGCCCACGCACCGCCAACTCAGCTTGTCCACAGAGGGACTCCCCTGCCCTCCAGATCTGCCCAGCCTCATCACCCAGCAGCCACCACCCTCACCAGAGCCTTGCCTCCCCTCCCCAGCCAGTGGGTTTCTCCTCAGTTTCCCTCCCACCCTGCACTTGGGCCCCCAGCTTTCCTTCTCCAGGACCTCTCCTGCCCTAGCTCTCATCAAGGCTCGTGTGCAACTGCTCAGAGCCTGTGGCAGCGAAGGTGCTAGGTGAATGATGGGGGATGGAGGCCCTGGGCAGCCCCTCTCTTCCTTCATCACAGCCTCCACGCCATAACGGAGCAATCTTTGAAATCGCACATCTGATTATGTCCCTGCCTTGACTACCCTGTTCATGGCTCCCCAGAAGCTACACAAACATAATAGGATGGCCTACTGACATACTTTGTTAGCCCCAAATAGTCTAGG